GACACAAAGTGGGTGGTACGTTAAGACTTCAAAAGTTAATTTTTGCTGCTGTTTTTAGCCAGTTATAGTATTGGTAAATGCCACTTTTTGTATAGTAGTACTTTATAGTACAATTCTGTATTATATTACTTTATTTTTTATATAAAGAAGAATTATTTAGACTGTTGTTCAGCATTTCTGGGAACTTATAAAGTATGTTGGTGCAGCAGTTAAGAACAAAAATAAATTTTTCTGAGAAACAAACTTTTAAAAATCTGTTCTTGTCTAACCAGTGTGGCTCAGTGGTTGAGCGTCCACCTATGCACCAAGGGGTCGCCAGTCTGATTCCCAGTAGGGCACATGCCCAGGTTGTGGGCCTGATCCCCAGTGGGGGTCATGCAGGAGGTGGCCATTAGATGTTCTCTCTAATTGATGTTTCTATCTCTCTCCTCCTCTCATTTCCTCTCTCTCTAAAATCAATTTAAAAAAAAATGTTTTAAATAAAATAAAATCTGTTCTTCCCTCCTACCAAGTGACTGTTGAACAGCTTATGAAATTATACATATGATACTACAGTGGAATGCATAAGAAAATGGTCAGATAGTCAACAATTATGTTTTATTATAACTCATGTCATCTTTGTTCTTCAATTTAAATTACTGTTAACAGAGCACATCCTTTGCAGTTGGGTCTGTACAGCTTGTTTTGTATATTCCTAATCTGTACACCTGATCCTGCTTTTCACACTTCTTCTAAATGGAATCACTTTTCAGGCGAAGAGTTTTCAAGTTAACAAATAACTTGGTGATATTTTAAGGTCTGACCATGTGGAATATGAAATACCTTTTCCTCCACTCCATTCTCAGATTCCTTGAACCAAAAGGTTAATGCTTTAGCTGAACTCTTAAAAGCATTTCAGATCTCATAAATATGAAAAATGTTTGTTTTAGTTCATGAAATGTAAATAACTATGTAATCTAGTTCCTAAGAAACATGATGTAGAGAAATCCTTCTTCAAGAATAATTTATTCTTAAAATTCAGGTTAATATTCTGGATTTATCATCCCTTGTCATCTTTGGGATGCATCTGTGGGAGTTTTTAAAAAGGCATTTTTGCTGTGGCCAGTTTGGCTCCGTGGCTGTAGTGTCGGCCTGCAGGCGGAAGGGTATCGGGTTTGATTCCTGGTCAAGGGCACACCTGGGTGGCAGGTTCAGTCCCTGGCCTCGGTTGGAGTTGTGTGGTAGGCAACCAATAGATGTCTTTCACAGTGATGTTTCTGTCTCTCTTTTCCACTCTATCTAAAAATCAATGGAAAAATAGCCTCAGGTGAGGGGGCATTTTCATGCCAAGGTGTCGACTTTTCCAAAATCTGATTTTTATACTTGAGCACTTACTTTGAGATGATACAGAATTTTGTAACAAAAACAGTTTATGTTTGATTTTTTACTTTTATGGTTTTATTTTATCTTTCTTATAGCCCTGAGATTTAGGCAGAGTGGTTATCATTCCATTTCATAAATGCTAAAGCTGAACAGCACATCTTCTGACTGAACCAAGAGGTCATAGCTAGTAATGGTACAATTAACACTGTAACCCAGGTGGGTACTAGACTTACGGGGGTGGGGGGTCGGTCACTTTATAACTTACATAAATGTCTAATCAGTAAGTTGTACACCTGAAGCTAACATAAGATTGTATGTCAACTGTAATTGAAAAATACGTTTTAAAAAAGACTGTCACACAGGGACCCTTCCTTGGGTCGACGCACCTCCTGTTTTGTGTGGCATTTCTTGCATATGCATAGTAAACTTATTACTAGTCTCTGTGTGTAGTATTTAGCTGTGTTAAACAAATACAGTTTGGAGCAAGAATGATCAGATTGAGGGGCCTGGGGAAGATTTCCCAAAGGAAGTGACTTCCAGATTGAGTCCCCTCTGATGAATGGGACCCATCCTGGGGGGACATCCAGGAAGGAAGAGCAGAAGTGCAGGGTGTGGAGGTGTGGTGGGTGATCCCTGTGGCCCACTTGGGACCTGCCAAGTGCTGAGTGGGCGCTGGGACAGCTGGATTCGGAAGGGCCTTTTTGTTCCTTAAATGTACTTGGTTACAAATAACAGAAACTGGCTCTGGTAGACACAGCTTACCAAGGAATTCATTGGGGAGATAGTGGGTGGCCACAGACTGAAGAAAGGCCCTAACTGCAGGTCTTAGAGGGCGTGGCACCCCCCCCCCCCCCCGAGGAACCGGCAGAGAATCTCTGAGGGGGGACTTCGCTGACAGCAGAGGACGAGTCTCTGGCAGTCATTGGCCTTGTTTGCAAAGGACCCGTCCCAAGGGCCCCAGTGAATGCCGGAAACAGGACAGTACAAAATCCTGTACATTCTAATTAATAAATCAGGCTCGGTAAGAGGTTAACAGTAATAAAACAGAGCAGTTGTAACAGTATACTGGAAAAAAGTCATGAGTGCCCTTCCTTTCATAACTGAGACGGCTCCTCGGGCCGGGGCGGGGCCTGCACAGCTGGACGTTGGGCAGCTGGCTCGTGGGGCGGGCGGTGCAGTGGCGATGCTTCCAGGCTGCTCAGGACAGCGAGCGATTTAAACCTGATTCCTTGCATTTCCCGTGTAATACTCTGACAGCAGTCCACCAGAAGTGACTGAACCATGGAAAGCAAAATCATGGAAAATTGGGGACTACTGCTCCGATTTCCAGTTTTGGAGAAATGGAATCTGAGTATCTTAGTTCAGGTCCGGTACCGACACCAGGGCCGGTCCCTGCGGCCGGGATCGGAACAGCCCTGTGTGGTCCGTCTGAAGAGGTGTGGCGCCTGTCCTGGGACCGGGAGGGCGTGGGTATGTGCCCTTAGCGGAACCGAACCCGGGTCTCTCTGGACCGCAGGCTGACGCTCTGACCGCTGAGCCAAGCCGGCCAGGGCAGACTCGGGTCTTTAAGGGGCAGAAAGAGAGGACTTTGCAGTTGGTCCTTCGGAGTCTGTGAGGATGTTTCAGGAGCTGAGGATGGTGCCATGTTTCTGGCTTTGGCCGCTGGGGGATGGTGGTACCGCCTGGGGAAAGGGCCAGTGTCAGCAGGGGCAGCGCTGGGGTAGGTGTTGAGGGGTTGAGTTGGCACACCAGGGCACACCACGGTTCGCCTGATGCTTACGTATGAGCAGCTGTTCCCAGGAATGGCGTCTGGGATTCCAAGTCTGCCCTCCGGGCCCCTGTTCTTGGCCTGTCCTGGGGCTGCTGGAGTCTCTCCACAGTATTGCCATGGGGATTTGGGGGTGGCACATTCTGCTCCCACACTTTGGAAAGGATTAGGTCAGAGTGGATACTCAGGATTGCATCTTGTTCAAACCTAAAGGCTCCCAGAGCGAGGAGCATTTAGGACCAGGTACTTTTTCTCAGGTGTTACTGTGGTAAGAACAGGCTTGCTGTTTTATAATACTATTTTCTTGACATAATGTCAACTGAGTTTGAAAATTCTTGGAAATTGGGGACTTCCTTGATTAAAAAGTTGAAATTATAGTTGGAATTTTTGTTAAAAGTATTTTAATTTCAGGCCGGCTGGTGTGGCTCAGTGGTTGAGCGTCAACCCATGCACCAGGAGGTCTCCAGTTGGATTCCTGCCTGGTCAGGACACATGCCCAGGTTGTGGGCTAAACCCCCAGTGGGGGGCATGCAGGAGGCAGCAGTTCTCAATGGGCTGGACCTATTCCCTGGGGAGCAGCTGGAAACTGGTGGGCATTTGTTGGTTTCTCAGTGGTTGGGGGCTAGGGGCACATAGGTGCTGGGTTGGATAGAGGCCAGGGATGCTGATTGTCATGGAGTTGTATCCACAGGATTGGGTCAGGTTAGGAAAAAACTGGAAAAACAAAACTTTTTTTTTTTTTTTTATCCTCACCCGAGGATATTTTTGCATTTATCTTCAGATAGAGCGGGAGGGAGAGAGGGGGGAAGAGACAGAGAGAAACATTGGTGTGAGGGAGGCACATCGACTGGCTGCCACCCACATGACCCCAACCAGGGCTGGGGACAAACTGCAACCGAGGTACGTGCCCTTAGTGGGAACTGAACCCGGGTCTCTCTGGTCCGTGGGCCAATGCTCTAACCGCTGAGCCAAACTGGCCAGGGCAAAGCAAAACAAAACAAAACAAAAAATCCTTTTATAGTTATCTGAATGTAGCATCTAGTTCTCTTTTACTTATTTATTTTTAATCTTCACCCGAGGATATGTTTATTGACTGGGGGTGGGGGGGCATCAATATGAGGAACATTGATTGGTTGCCTCCTGCAGAGCTCCAACTGGGAATCAAACCTGCAGCCTTTTGCTGTACTTTTACACAGTGTCAGTAAACACTGCGTTTTGCTGGCAATGCCATGAAATTTGTAAATTGACTGAAAAATGAAGTTTTCTTGGGATTTTACTTTAAGCTTTACTGTCATAGGTGGTATTAATTTCATTTTATCTTATTTAGAAGCTTACAAACTTTAAGACAATGACTAGGATATATTGAAAAGGTTTTTGGGTTTTGATTTTTTTGAAAAATTTATTTTTTATTATTAATGACTTACAGTATTATTGCTTCAGGTGTACAACATAGTGACTAGACATTTATATACCTTACAAAGTGATCACCACAGTAATGATCATTTTCCTCTTGAATTTATTGGGGTGACATTGGTTAATGAAATTACAGGTCTCAGGTGTACAATTCTATAACACATCATCTGTATATTGTACTGTGTTCACCACCCCGAGTTGGGCTCCTTCGATCAATCACCATTATCCCCCTGTACCTTTGTTTTTAAATGGGAGGTGGTTGGTGAACTGTTTTCTCCGGGAAATTAGAGCAGAGACCCCAGGGAAATCATATGCATAGGGATGAATAGTGTGAACTTGCTGGGTTATAATGTATTTCATAATAAGGCCCTAAAAAAGATCCTAAAAATGGAGAGATTCAGTAGCATGTGGTGGATTGGGTTAATGAAGTGGGTGAAATTACCCAAGTTTTTGAAAGGCCAGAGAGGAGAGAAAAGCCAGGGCATTGAGCAGGTTACAGAGGAGGTCTCTGCGTCAAGGGTGTGTTCTGTGAAGACATCAGTCCTGACTTTCTCTGTGTCTGTGTGAGGCTCACCGAGGGAGAAAGAAGCGTGGCCGAGGATGGAGGGAAGAGGCTGGTTCTTCCCCAGGGTGTCCGCCCATAGCTGGAGACAGGACGGGACTGGGCTGCCTCCGCTGGAGACAAGCCAACCCCACCTTGCAGTCTGGGGGTGACAGTGACTGTCTTCGCAGTCTCCGAGAGCCAGCCCATGCTCAGCGTAATGGAAACTGACCCATGTCTGCTCCCACCATGCTTCGCTCCAGGGGCTTTGTGCTTTCAAGAAAAAGACTTCGATTTTGCTAGTGTGCTCTTGCATTCTAAGTTTTCTTCTTAGACTTCTTCTTGGATGACTTTTTTTTTAATTTTTAATTTTTTTAATTGATTTTTAGAGAGAGAGAGGAAGGGAAAGAGAGAGAGAAACATCGATGAGAGAGAACATCAGTTGGCTGCCCCCTGTATGCCCCCCACTGGGGATCAGGCCCACAACCTGGGCATGTGCCCTGACCGGGAATCAAACTGGAGACCTGGTGCATGGGTCGATGCTCAACCATTGAGCCATACTGGCTGGCTCCTTGGGTGACTTTTAAACTGAAATAAACCTGGCTGGTGTGGCTCAGTGGATTGAGCGTCGTCCCATGGACTGGGAGGTTCCGGTTTGATTCCTGGTCAGGGCACGTACCTGGGATTCAGGCTCAGTCCCCAGTGGGGGGCATGCAGGAGGCAGCTGATTGATGTTTTTCTCTCTCCCTTCCTCTCTCTCTAAAAAAAAAAAAAAATTAAAAATAACATAAAACATTAAAAATATATTAAAAATAAATGAATAAGTCATATGAGCTCTCTCATCATCACTGTCCTTACCTGTCAGGTGAGGAGGACAGTCCTCTCCTACAGGCTCCATTAATTGCACTTTCTTACGTGTCCTACGCGCGTGCTAGGCACAGGCCCCAGGGGCCTGCGGCAGACAGGAATCCGGTTCCTGCCCTCAGAGGTTAGGAGAAGCCCTCGCAAAGTGAGTGAGGCTTGCGGGAGCCCAGCGAGGGCCGGGTCCGGACGGGAGAGAGGGTTGGAGAAGGGCCGAGGTGGCGTCCCCCTCAGCTGCACGGGCTGTCAGAGTCACGAGGGGCAGGGGAGAAGGTGTTTTGAGCTGAGAAGCCGGGACAAGAAGCGGCACCGAGACGAGGGACCGTGAGGTGTGTGTGTCACTGTGGGCTTGCAGAGGGTGAGTGGCAGGAGCATCCAGAGAGGAGGACTTGGGGAGGCAGGTGGGCCAGGTGCTGTAGGGTTTGCGTGCTTCCCGAAGGGGCTTAACTTTGTGCCTGTGCAGTGGAGGGCCGTGGAGAGTTTAAGCCGGTTCCTTAGGGAGGTAGCTTGCTGCCCGGATCCCTTGGGTTTGGTCAGAGGGCATCAGGCTGGGGGCAGGGACTAGTTAGGAGGCTGCAGCAGTGGCCAAGTGAGTGGTCATGAGGGCTGGAACGGTGGCAGAGCCAAAAATGAGAGTGCAGTGCGGCAGAGGGACACATTTGAAAACTCCCCAGGAGTGAACGTTAGCGCACGTGGATGCTTTGAAGCTAAGAAGGCAGGATGACCAGGAGATACCTAGCCTGGGTGGCTGGGTGGACCAAGTCCACCTGAGAGAGGGCATCGGCCCGTGGACCCGTGAGTCCTGGGTTTGATTCAGGTCAAGAGCACATACCTTGGTTGTGGTTCATCTCCGGCCCTGGTCAGGGTTGTGGGGGAGGCAACCAGTCGATGTATCTCTCTCACGTCGATGTTTCTCTCCCCACCCCCCACCCCTTCCTGCGTCTCTATCTGATGATAAATAAAAAATATCCTTGGGTGAGGATAAAAAAAAAAAAGAGGAAGAACCAGCCTGACCAGTGTGGCTCAATGGTTGAGCATTGACCCATGCATCAGGAGGTCGCCGGTTCGATTCCCAGTCAGGGCACATGCCCCGGTTGTGGGCCTGATCCCCAGTGGGGGCATGCAGGGGGCACCCAGTTGATGTTCTCTCTCATCCATGTTTCTACCTCTCTCCCTCTCTCAAATCAATAAAGAAAAAAAAATTTTTAAACCAAGGAAGAACCAGATGTAGAGACGGGATAAGAAGTTTATTTAATGGTCTCAGGTGTGAGTTGCCTGTGCACATCTCTGGGCTGGCCTGCGTTGCTGGTGGGAAGGAAGTGGTGGAACCCCGAGCGGTCGTGGTGAAGTCATCAGGGAGCCCGTGTGCAATGAGGTAGCTGGGAGCCGGTCAGAATCGGGGCTGCCATACCTGAAAGGCAGGCGGAGGAAGAGGGTCCTGCAGGAGGCAGTGGTGGGCAATGGGGAGAGACAGTTATGATGGCCAGGAAATCCAGGGGCTTGAATTGAAAAGCTCCAAGAGAGCATTGTTTATAAACGCCAAATATGCGATAACGATAGAAAAATGTCTTCTGGATATGTCTTTTTAAAGAGATAATTGTGACCTTAATAAGAGATGTTTCCAGATTGCAGTGCATGAAGAGTCAATGAGAAGCGAGGCTGCACTCCGAACATGTTGTCGAGAGAGGAGGAGGGAGCCAGATAGCTGTAGGAACTCAGCATAGACTCCTGGTCACCCTGCCTACGCATGTGTGCTCTTTGTCTGTCATAGTCCCTGTGTATCTCGTTCACAGTGCAGGTGGTCAAGAAAGAATTGGGACAACAAGAGCATGTCAGATGTTTCCCTCTATTAGGTTTTAATTGCAGTAACATGAGTTACTTTCTTAGAGAGAATTTTAGCCTAGAAGACTTCCGTCCTATTTTCCTTCTCCCAGGAGAGCCATGGCTGCCCTCCAGAGTTTGTATCTGTGGCAAGGGACGGTCCCTGGCGGGAATGGGCGGAACAGCTGCTTCTCACAGCAGACAAACAGCCTCTGCACCTTCCACTTCCTTCGGATGCTGTTTCACCTCCCAAAGAAAGGAAATCAGTCAAAGCCAGAAGACGTCCTGGTGGAAGTGTGCAGCACTGGGTGTGAGAAATCTAACCTGGTTCTGAAGGTTGGGTTCCAGAGTGCGAACAGAGCCCTGGGCTTCCGAGCTCAGTCTGCTTTCAGCTTGTCTGAGGGGAGCTGTCCGCCCCTCCGGCACTAGCCCCTCCCTGAAGAAAGTTGGCCTCCCAGGGCCGTTCCGCTGTCACCATCTCTAGATGCTGCTGGTAGCCGTCCCTGTGGTTGGCATAACAAGCAAAGGTACTGCGTTGTTTTCTTGTTTGTAAAGATTAACCTCAGGCTCTTATAGCCTAGAAATGCTGTTATCATTCTAAAAAATGACTGCCCTATAATAAAGAGATTGCTTAAGGAACTTTTTGTAGTATTTTTGATGAGGCAGGGCAAGGAAGCCTCTTATTTCATGGAAGAGGAAGGCTAATGAACTCTTCCTAGTTCCTCTGTCTAAACCCAAGATCCCTTTATTATTCTTCCATGTAAACTTGGCACCGAGGAGTCTGGGAGATGGTTCAGTCAGGTGTAAGGCCTCAGCAGCATTGGCCTTGCTCCTTCTCTGCAGGGGTTTGTCAAGGATATCTGGGATGGGAGGAACTACTCCGCTGCTCAGCCAGAGAGAGGGTGGCCGCCTGTGTCTAAACTGGGCTGTGCCACCAGGAAGATAAACAAAGACTGACTGCTTGACACTGAAGTGGTTAAGCACTCAGAGGAGACTTAAAATAAGTGCTGTTCATTCCAACTTGCTCTGTTTATGAAAGTTCACCTCTGTCTGTTATTTAATCATTGTTTATTTTTCTTTATTTATTTTAAATCATTTTTAAAACTTTTCAAGTACAGTTGACATACACTATTATATTAGTTACAGGTGTGCAGCCCAGTGATGAGACATTATATGACTTACTGAATGAATCCACCACCCATCTGATACCATACACAGCTATTAGAATGTGATTGACTATATTCCTTACCCTGTACTTTACATCTGTGTGACTGTTCTGTAAAAACCAATTTGTACATCTTAGTCCCTTCACCTGTTTCTCCCATTTCCCCAAACCACCTCCCATCTGGCAACTGTCAAAATGTTCTCTGTATTATGAGTCTGTTTCTGTTCTGCTTGTTCCTTTATTTTGATTTTTTTATTCAGTTTTTGACAGGTATGTATTTATTGTCATTTTGTTCATATATTGTCTTTTTTCTTCTTAAAGAAGACCCTTTAAAAATTTTTTTTTCTTTATTGATTTACAGAGAGAGGAAGGGAGAAGTAGGGAGAGATAGAAACATCGATGAGAGAGAACATCTATTGGCCACTTCCTGCATGTCCCCCGTTGTGAAGATTTGGCCCACAACCTGGGCATGTTCTCTGACCGGGAATCGAACTGGTGACCTCCTGGTGCATGGGTTGACGCTCAACCAGTGAGCCACACTGGCCGGGCAAGAAGATCGTTTAACCTGTCATGTAACACTGATTTGGTGGTGATGAACTCCTTTAGTTTTTTCCTGTCTGGGAAGCTGTTCATATGTCCTTCAATTCTAAATGATAGCTTTGCAGAATAGAACAATCCTGGTTATAGGTCCTTGCTTTTCATCACTTTGACTATTTCTTGCTACTCCCTTCTGACCTGCCAAGTTTCTGTTGAGAAATCAGCTGACAATCTTATGGGAGCTCCCTTGTAGGTAACTAACTGCTTTTTTCTTGCTGCTTTTAAGATTCTCTTTTTGTCTTTAACCTTTGGCATTTTAGTTATGATGTGTCTTGGTAATAGCCTCTTAGGGTTTATCTTGTTTGGGATTCTCTGTGCTTCCTGGACTTGTATGTCTATTTCCTTCACCAAGTTAAGGAAGTTTTCTGTCATTATTATTAATCTTTTTTATCCTCACCTGAAGACATTTTTGCATTCATCTTCAGATAGAGCAAGAGGGAGAAAGGGGGGAAGAGAGAGAGAGAGAAACATTGACGTGAGAGAGACACATCGACTGGTCGCCACCTTCACGACCCCAACTGGGGCCAGGGCCAAACTGCAACCAAGGTACGTGCCCTTAGTGGGAACTGAACCCGAGACTCTCTGGTCTGCGGCCTGATGCTCCAATCACCAAGCCAAACTGGCCTGTCATTATTTTTTAAAGTAGGTTTTCAATTTCTTGCTCTCTCTCTCCTCCTTCCTGCATCCTCATGATGCGAATGTTGGTACCTTTGAAGTTGTCCCAGAGGCTCCTTATACTGTGTTTATATTTTTGGATTCTTTTTTTCTTTTTGCTGTTCTGATTGGGTGTCTTTTGCTTCCTTATATTCCAGTCTTTGATTTGATTCTTAGCTTCACCTACTACTGTACATTATTCTTCATTTCAGTTAGTATATCATTTATTTCTGAGTGGTTCTTTTTTATAGTTTCTATGTCCTGTTTCATGCTGTTAAAATTCTAAGTTCCTTGAGCATCCTTATAACCATTGTTTTGAACTCTATATCTGGTAGTTTGCTTGCCTTCATTTCATTTAGTTTTCTGGAGATTTCTTCTGTTCTTTCATTTGGGATCTATTTCTCTGTCTCTGCATCTTTTCTGTTTCCCTATGTTTGTTTCTATGTATTGTGTAGATCTGCATTGTCTCCTGGACTTGGTGGAGTGGCCTTGTATAGCAGGTGTTCTGTAGGGTCCAGTGGCACAGCCTCCCCAATCACCCAAGCTGGGCACTTGAGGTACGCCCCGCATATGGGCTATGTACACCCCCCGGTTGTAGTTGAGCCTGATTGCTGTTGGCACAACAGTGGAAGGGATGCCCCTCCAAGCCAAGTCAGCTGCCACAACTGGCTGTGACCACTGACCACCGTGGAGGAGAGGTACAGGGCATGCTGAGACCAGATATGCTTGTTTGAGAGATTTTAGGAAAATTCTGTTATTCGTTGTTCTTCATATTTTTCTGCATGTTACAAATGCTTTCATTAAGTCTGTGGATGAATTTCTTAGTAAATTATAAAAGAACTCAACAGGATGTAAGTTATGACATTTAAGGGTGTTGTCTTATTGCTTCAGACCTGGGGTTATCATGTAACACCCCATGTCACATGATTTGACAGATGCAGGAGAAAAGCCCTCAGCCTGGTTTCATTGGCTTAAATATAGTTCAAGGGAGCAGATGCAAAGTTGAGATGAGGAAGTGCTATACATATAGGAAGCAGAAGCTTTTAAAGATAATTCTCTGTGATGTGAAGCTGGTGCCCTCAGCCCTAATAAATGAGTGAGCACAAGAGCTGAAGCCCCAGCAAGGCCCTTCTTTTTTCGTGAGTTACGAGAAGGGGAGCCAGGAGCATCAGGTGAGTACTTGGAGCGTCGACTTGCTTTTGCAGAGATGGGGCTGTGTGTGCAGAGTTGTTAAGACGGAGGGTGGACAGAAGTGGCTGTGGTGGCCTGGACCAGGCGGATGCAGGGTGTTGTACTTCCAGACTTGTTTTCCTCGTGAACTGTCTTTCTCAGTTACTGGAAGTTGTCTAAAGATGCTTCTCTGAAGCCGTATGTCCGAGAACAGAAGGGTCTTGGACAAGCTGCAGAGTTTCTGGCCATGCTCAGTAAAACTTTCCTCCCCCTGCGACAGAGGTAATGGTTGTGGGTCTTACTTCCTGTGGGTGTACATTTAATTATTGAAAATGTGTAAAGCAGTTTCATCTTACATTGGTTTTAAAGCAAAAGTTGGGTAAGGAAGGGAGGCTTTACTCTTAAGTTTGCAAGAAAACTTTGACCTTGACAATGTTCAGTACCATGAAGTTTATGCTCCTGTAGGATGTTTACTGTAAAAGACCTTAGTGATGTTTTTTGGCATTTTATTACATTAAATATTCTTAACCCAAATTCTGCTTGTACAGACAATCACGTACTGTTCAACAGTTAGTGAACTTTTATTTGTTTGTTAACTTCACCCAAGGAGATTTCCCCATTGACTTTTTAGATAAAGTGGAAAGGGGGGAGGAAGAAAGAGAGAAACATCAATGTAAGAGAGACACGTGGACTGGTTGCCCCCTGCACAACCCTGACTGGGGCCGGGGATCAAACCTGCGACCCTTTGGTTCACAGGTTGATGCTCTAACCACTGAGCAAACTGGCCACTGCGAGGGGGATCACTTTAATTTGGTCTTTCAAATCAGTGAAAAGGTGAATGCTGTCCAGGTTGGGGGGTGGTACCATTTAGTTAGTGATTTTTGAGTTGGATTTTGAAGAATGACTATATTTCAATATAAAAGTGATGGGAAAGCCGGGCCGGCTCGGTGGTTGAGCAAGGTCCCGTGGACTGTGAGGTCCCGGTTCGATTCCTGGTCAGGGCACATGCCCAGCTTGTGGGTTCGATCCCCAGTAGAGTTGTGCAGGAGGCGGCCAATCAATATTTCTTTCTCACATAGATGTTTCTGTCTCTCTCTCTAAACAATCAATTAAAAAAAAACAAACGTATTTTAAAAGTCACAGGGAAGAGGGTTGTAGGTAGTGCTGGTGACCGCTCGGGTAGAGGTCTTAGGTCATTTCCACTTCAGTGCCTGTCATCTCACCTGGACGGAGACCCAGAGTCCTCTGGCTGTAGGGTGTGCTCCAGGTCTCTCTTGGCTGCCAGGAGCTCTGAGCGGGCCTTTGTCTTCACTGTCCCTGGTCCCCAGAGCCTAGACACCAAGTGCTCAATAAGTGAGTGCTGAGTGGGAGAAGTTCAGAAGGCACCTCGTGTGTAGGGTGTAAGATGTGTTCGAAGGGTGATGTAACGGAGTCTGTAGGGGGACTGGTCATGAATGCCGCGCAGAGTTTTGCAGTGAAGTGCTCACAGTGGAGCCCTGTGGAGGACGCACTGGGAGGACCAGGGCGGAGGCTGCAGGACATATACAAGCTTTTGTGGACAGTCCATTCATTCGGTTGACAAGTTGACTGTTTGCTACACTGTGCTAGGCTCTGAGGATACGAAGGTGACTGAGAACCGGTTCTAGATGGTGGGACCAGAAGGGAGAAGGTTCTGCAGTTGAGGTCTCAACAAAGTGGCGTGTTTGGGGCTTGAACCTCGGCCTTGCCAGCGAGGTGGGATGGTCTTAAGTCTCATAGACAATTTCTTGATGTCAGTAGCTCCGAGAGTTCCCAAGAAAACAAAGCCTTTAAATTTAGGAGCTCTAATTGTATGTCAACTATACATCAATAAATGTTTTGAAATTGCTTTGTTTTTGTTTTTTAATGCAGAGGCCTTACAGTGATTTTGAATTAGGTCCTGCCCAAAAGTTATTACCATTATATTGATTAATGCACGTATTTTCAGAAGGAAAATGTGTGTAGGGTATATATAAATATATATATGTGCCTGCACACTGGCTCAGACTGCAGCTCGAGTCAGTGTGTCGCTTCTGGGACGTAGTTTATCAGTCCAAAGACTGGAGAGGTTGACGTGCATCCGACAGAGTGAGTGATCGGGTTAAATGAGGTGATGTATAGGAAAATTCTTTGTACACCAGACACTGCTACAGATGCATGATGTATTGTTGGGGGTGGGAGGATGGATGATGCTCTAACACTGCAGACGAGTTTGGGACAGGATATACAGAGAACATGAAAATTTAAAAATACCTTGTACCAAATATTCTGAGTATGGGGGAGAAGTGGCAGATTCCCCTTAGTAATATATTCATAGGGCTTAAAAACCACGCTGAAGGGAAGTTTGCCGCTGCAGACATGTTTATGTGTAGCCTGGGAAGTATGGGGACACTTAGCTCTTTGGGAGCAGATATTCATGATCTTTCTCGTCACTGACTTTATTGTTTCAACCCCGTTAGGAGAATCTGCCTTTCTCATGTGTTTGTTTATTCATTGACTCTGTCTTCTAAATGCTTGGGTGTAGTTGAAAGACTATCCGTTTTAGTGCTACCTGGGTTCAGACTTGCCACTTGCTTGATTCTGAACAAGTTATTTAGCACCCGAGTCATGGATTTCTTATCTCTAAATGTCGGTAATACCTGGCCTGCTCTTTGCTGCATCTGCTGCGAGGATGAAGACCATTCTCAGCAATCAGACTGTCGACATGCCAGAAAATGTCGCCATCCCTCTGAAGGGCCACAGTTATTGTGAAGGGCCCCAGAGGCACCTGCGGAGGGTCTTCAGCCACGTCAGTGTAGAACTCCATCTCCTTGGACAGAAAGAGAAGAGGCTCCGGGTTGACAGGTGGTGGGAACTGGAAAGGAACTGGCCGCCGTTCGCACTGTCTGCAGCCCTGTGCGGAACGTGCCCAAGGGCGTCCCACTGGGCTCCGGTACAAGATGAGCCTCGTTGTTCAGGAGATGGTTCTCTTGTCAAGTCAGAAATTTCTTGGGCGAAAATACATCCGCAGAGTCAGATGAGGTCAGGTGTTGCTTGTTCAGTATCTCAAGCCCAGAAAGATGAGTTGATTCCTGAAGGAAATGACATTGAACTTGTATCAAATTCAGCTGCTTTGATTCAGCAAGCCACGACAGTTAAAAACAAGGATATCAGAAAATGTTTGGATGGTATCCATGTTTTTGAAAAGGGAACAATTCAGCAGGCTGATGAATAAGATCTAAGTTGTCCAGCTATAGAAACACCAAGATGCTGAATGATTTCCACACTTATTTGCGATATGGGGGAGATGCAATAAAAGCCTTGTATTGAAAATAATAATAATAATAATACTTGGCCTGTCAGTAGTGAGGATTCGCTGAGATAACTATGTAAAGGATCCTAGCTTGATATTTGGTGGGATTTAGGTGGTCAGCAAATGTTTCGTTCCCTCTCTGTTTTCTTATTGTGCTAAATACAACATAAAATTTGCCATTTTTACCATTTTAAATGTAAAATTCAGAGGCACTAATTACATTCATAATGTTGTGCAAACATACCACTGTATATTTCCACAACTTTTCATCACCCAGACAGATACTCCATACCCATTAGTCATGAACTCCCCATTCCCTCCTTCTAACCCCTGATAGCTCCCAATCTACTTTCTGTCTCTATGACTCTGTCCCTTCTTTAAAAAAAAAATTTTTTCCTGATTTTAGAGAGAAAGGGAGAGGGGGAGAGAGAGAAACATTGATGAGAGAGAACATCGATTGGCCGCCTCCTGCATGCCTCTCACTGGGGATCGGGCCCACAACCTGGGCATGTCCTCCTGATTGGGAATTGAACCGGCAACCTCTTGGTGCATGGGTCGATGCTCGACCACTGAGCCACACCCGCTAGATGACTCTGCCCCTCCTATATAGCTTATACAAGTAGAACCCTACGACATAGGCTTTCTCACTTAGCATAACGTTCTTGAGGTTTATTCATGTTGTACCGAGTGTTACTCTGTTGCACAGACCACACTTTGTATCCTGTTGAAGGGCACTCGGGTACTTGCACCTTCCGCCTGTTTGGAGCAGTGCGCTGGGCAGGTGGATGGAAGAGTGGCTGTCTGAGTCCCTGCTTTCGGTGCTTTGCAGTGTGTACCCAGGAGTGGAATCAGAGTTATATGGTGGTTTTTAATTTTTGGAGGGACTACCAAACGGTGTCCCCCACCTTTGTGTTTGGTTTCCCTCTGCACCACTCATGCAGGTCTCATGTAAGATCCAGAACAACTATCACTCAGAGCTGGAAGAAACCAGGTCTGGTTAGCACCTGATCATCTTGTTTTTCTCCACTTCCAAACAGACATGCATCTCTCCACAGCGTCCACCGCTGACTGCTGCAGAGGCCTCTCTCCTTTGCTGGTTTCATTCTTTTTTTTTTTTTTTTTATCCTCACCTGAGGACATTTTTGCATTTTTTGTTCAGACAGAGCGGGAGGGAGAGAGAGGAAGAGACAGAGAGAGAAAAATCTATGTGAAGAGACACATCGAGTGGCTGCCACCCGCACGACCAACCAGGGCCGGGGACAAACTGCAACCAAGGTACATGCCCTTAGCGGGAACCGAACCCGGGTCTCTCTGTACCGCAGGCTGATGCTCTAACCGCTGAGCCAAACCAGCCAGGGCGCTGGTTTCATTCTTAACTCTTCTCTCCTTCTCCGACGTTTTCTTTCCTTCCCCAGTTCTTCCTCTGTGCCCTCTGGTCCATCACTCCCTCTTTGGACCGCAAGCCGATGCTCTACCACTGAGCCAAAGCGGCCAGGGCCCATCACTCCCTCTCATCCTAACCCTGCCTGGACCCCCGCTGCTGTCCTCCTTGTGGGGAGGGTCCCGGGGGTGGCCTGAGGTCCCGGGCTGGATCACATTCATACACAGCACACTTACCTAAACCAGGCTTTCAGAGGGTTAGCAGTTGTAATAAATAATGGCAAGTATTTGGGAAAAGTTGTGTGGAAAATAAGAAAATGTTATCATCAAAGGAGGGAATTGAGTGTGCAGGCTGTCAGCGCCCGTACTGCTAGCGATAGCTGGCAGGAAACCATGAACGTGAGCTTTCCACAGACAGTCCAGCAGAAATAACCCGCAGACTACAAGTCAGATATGACTTCTCAGACAAGTTCCTCTTCATTCCCGTGTTCCTGGTTGGCCTGGTCAGAAATTGAACGTTGTCATTCCGTTTTATTTGGCTTATTTCTAAGACCATTATAAAGGCCTCCGTTCATGATGTATTTGACGAGAACGGGGGAGATGAAGGGTTTATCCATGTGGCATAGGAGAATGTGCACACGTGAAGTAGCTGAAATTATAACGAAGCCGCACTGAAATGTAAGCGGCAGCCGTGAGCTGTGGGTGACACTCCTCAGGAGAAAATGAGTGGCAGCCAGAGTTCTGAAGCTAATTTTAGTGATTTGCTAATCCATGGGCAAGCAGAGTGGGGGTGGGGCATGGCGGGCGAGCAGGAATCGACCCCGCAGCCGTGGGAAGAGAGCAGCTTTTGCCCAGACACCCACACACACCCTGCATACAGTGGATTAGTTCTGTGGAAGGACCTGTAGTGGAGAGAACGAGAAAAGAGAACTGGAATCCAGACTGTCCATGACTAACCCCACGATGACTACTCAGCTCCTGAATCCTGTGTCTGCAGGCTAAGACCTTCAGAGAAAGGGGAGTGACATTTACTGAAAATGCACTGTTGGTTGCTAAATGGTGAAGTGCTTTCCTGCTGTGTTAAGCCCTTGGCTGCTGAGGGAGTTTCCCGGTGCCCACGGTATACCTGAGGGCATGGTGCAGGTGCAGAAGTTACACCTGGGGGCGTGGTGCAGGTGCAGAAGTTACACCTGGGGGCGTGGTGCAGGTGCAGAAGTCCATGCTCGTTAATGAGAGATGGGGCCAGGACCCTTTCCCCCTGGGTTTGGACAGTCTGTCTGGTTTTCCATGGCTTCCTCTTCAACATGCTTTCGGGCTCCGTGTCTGTTCAGGAAACCAGGTTTTTACACGATCCAGAATGATGCTGTTAGTAAACATAGCGGGAGCAGCCGTATGCAAGAAGAAACAGGTGAAGTTAGTTTAATATGCCGAACTAGTATCATGTCCAAACTGAATACATATCACAGAATATGAAAAATTCGAGGTGTTTTACATGTTTTGTGAACCAAATCGCAGGAATCCTGTGTACATTTGTACTCAGAGCACATCTCAGGTCGGATCAGCCACATTTCAGGTTGCTCCAAACGGCTGGTGGCTACAGCTTGGACTGCACAGATCCAGGAAACAGGTGGTGAGACTCACCCTAAACAAGGTGAGGCTGTGCTTGGAAGCAGCTGGAGGAATTGTGGGCGAGCCTCTCCTAAGACAGGAAGCTCTGCGGAAGGTACCTGCGCAGAAGGCAGGACTCTTTTTAAAGGAAAGTGAAGACATTGCCATGTGCCGAAAGGACATGACCGACCGAGGCTGTTTATGGCGAGCAGTGACGTCATGCTGACCTTTATCACCACCTCCAGCACTGACCGCAGGAGAACTGTGGGGTGGTGACGGCCAGATGCAAACCATATTTGGGCAGGATGACATCTCTCGCAAATCTACTAACCATTAAGAGTGGAAACCACTCTCTAATGTGTGTGATGCCATGTCAGGAGCCTTTTCTCCCAGAGCCCGATCCCCTCACAGATGGGAGCGGCTGTGTTAGCTGCAGGAAATAGCCGTGAACAGATTCCCTTATATGGGAATTTCCACAGACCTCAATTCTGCACGGAACAAGATGAATAACAGTTTCAGACTTCTGTTCCAGCAACTGAAATTAGTTAACAGCATTTTTGGAATTTTCCCTTATCCTTTTTTCTTTTTAATTTATTTTTCTTTTTAATTTATTTTTTTCTTTATTGATTTTAGAGAGAGGAAGGGAGAGGGAGGGAGAGATGGAAACATCGATGGGAGAGAACATCGACTGGCTGCCTCCTGCTTGCCCCCCACTGGGGATGGGGCTCACAACCTGGGCATGTGCCCTAACTGGGAACCCAACTGGCAACCTCTGGGTACATGGTCGGCGTTCAAACACTGAGCCACACCGGCTGAGTGACAGGTTTCCCTTTTTGTAGCCGAATAGTACTCCTGTGTGTGTGTGTATCACATTTTCTTTCTTTTCTTTTGTTTGTTTGTTAGTCCTCACCTGAGGATATTTTTTTCATTGATTTTTAGAGAGAGTGAAGGGGGGCAGTGAGTGAGAGAGAGAAATATCAACATGAGAGAGACACATTGACTGGTTGCCTCCCACATGCGCCCCAACGGGGCCAGGGATCAAACCTGCAGCCCAGGTACGTGCCCTTGACCAGGACTCGGCCCTGAGACCCTTTGGTGCTCTGGCCGACGCCCTAACCACTGAGACACGCCGGCCAGGGCAGTTGGCACATTTTCTTTATCCACTTGATCTGTCAGTGGACACTTAGGGTGTTTCCCTGTCTTGGCTGTTGTAAATAATCCTGCAACTAAGGGGACACACATACTTCTTTGACAGTGATTTCATTGTCTGCAAGTATACATCCAGAAGAGGGGATTGCTGGATCATGCCGTAGTTTTCTTTTTAATTCTTTGAAAGACCTCGGTACTTTTTCCATGGTGCTGCGCCAGTCTGCATGGCCCCAGCAGTGCGCAAGGGCCCTCCTCTCCACGTCCTTGCCAGCCCTGTCTGGTCTTTTTTTTTTTTCAATCCTCACCCAAGGACATTTTTTTCATTTTTTTGTTCAGATAGTGGGAGGGAGAGAGAGAGAAACATCGATGTGAAAGGGACACATCGAGTGGCTGCCACCCACACGACCCAACCGGGGCCGGGGACAAACTGCAACTGAGGTACGTGCCCTTAGCGGGAACCGAACCCGGTTCTCTCTGGACCGCAGGCCAACGCTCCAACCGCTGAGCCAAACTGGCCAGGGCGTCTCTGGTCTTTTTGATAATAGCCAATCTAACAGGTGTGAGGTGGTGGTACCTCATTGTGGTTTTGGTTTGTATTTTCCAGATTAGTGATGATGAGCACTTTTTTAGTTACTTTTTAGCAATTGGCATTTTTCTTTGGAAAAATGTCTATTTAGATCATCTGCCTATTTTTAAATCAGACATTTTTTTTTTTTTTTTTTTTTGCTGTTGAGTTATTTGAGTCCCTTGTATATTTTGTATGTTAACAACTCCTTGTTAAATGT